GTCGACTGTAGAAGCTAACAGCGTCAACTCGAGTGAGTATAATGGCTCAGCCAATCTCTCCCAGGCCGTGGGGCCTAGCGTTCATACAACAATCCCGCGGTAAGGTGTTAAAAAACGCGCGCAGATTTCCCCCCTCCCCCAACCCACGGACAACCCCGGATATTTTCTGACTTTTCTTGAACGACGTTAAATCCATGTAATGTCTGTTTTGCCTTAAAACAGAGCTTGTGCTTAAAAGGAATTAACTGAAATAAAGAAAACAAAAAACAACAAGGATTAGAGAGCTTCACCGGAAATACAGAAAGAGAAGTTGTGTGACAGTTTGTGTTTGTTTGTTTGTTTGTACGTGTAGCGAACTCTTTGCGGTGGTAATCCTAGCTGTGCAGCGCTGAATTTTGCGCCCCACCCATTCACTACGTTCTGATCTATTAAGATCGTTCCAAATTGTGTAGTTTGTGATTCCTGTGTCCCAAATAATAATGGCCTTGCTGAAATTTCTTAGTTTGATGGTCACCCTAAGCGTTGTAGCATTCTCAAGCGCACAAGAATCCTGTTTGAAGCTCAATACATGCGTGTGTATGTTCAGTAATAAGTCAATAGTTGACTTATGGCCGGTGGACGGATCTTCCAAACCGAGGTAAAAACTTTTCATATTCATATCCTGAATTGTTAAAAAAAAAAACATCTTGATTTGATTGCATTTGCCTCGCTCTGTATTTTGGGGAGAAAGAAGCGCAGAGAATCTCATTTCCATCCAAGTACTTCTAGATGCGCAAAGAATGCTTTGTAATAAAGATGTTAGCTTATAGCCTCCCACGCAGACGTTCTTAGGGCTTTGTCACTGATCCTTACTTTATTCTCTATACTAGACATACTTGATATACTGGATGTACTCATACCGCAGGCAAACTAATTAGCCAAAAGACATAAAAAGTCGTTTTCTTTATCATCCTTCAGGGGAAAATTATGATAATAATGCCAATGTAATGTGTTGTTCTCCGAGGGGGTCAAAGGGGTTTTTGCGTAAAAATTAAATTAAAATTCGTGAAATGTGAATGGTTTGCTTGTCGTGATACGTGAACTTTTAAATCTTCTATCCGATATTCGTGATTTTCAACTAATTTTTCCGTGCAAATGGATGGTAAGTTGAAACTGAAGAAAAATTTTACTGAAGCCAGTGGACCTTCGAATGAACTTGTCTAATTAATAGTCTTAAAGGACTTAAAGTCGTTCCCTTGTTTCACCCACGGAGTCCAGAGCTTGGAAAGAATTTCCGTAACGTCAGTATTTCTCAATCGATCATAATTCAGCTCTTATTTTTGTGGAGCTAACACGCGTGAGGTTTTCGTGTGGTCATCTTGGGTGCAGTGGCCGACAGTGACAATGAGCAAGTTTTTAAATTAGAGGGAGTACATAGCAGAGCTTCCGCGCACGCGCTAGCCCCCGGGCCCATACCTAAGAGAAAATGGGAACCCATCGATACCAGAAAATTTGGTTATGACGTCACCGTACGCCCGTTCGAACGATCGTTCGAACGAACTTTGGGGGAGGGGGAAGGGAGTCAGGGCAGGGTTATACGTCTGCTAGTGCTAGATTTTTTCAGCAGGAAACGCTTTTGGGTAACCCGCGTTCTGTTTGGCGGGAAATCGCGTGGCTATCGTCGCTCTAGAAAAAAGTTTTTCTTCTTATGAAATAGTTTACAGCTGTATTTTAATGTCTAAATTGACGTGGATAACAGGGAAAGAGCTACAGCGAGAGATAAAAAAGGAGACCAATTTCGTTGAAAGAAAAACATGAAAATTTTATAGCGGCGGTGAGAATGCTAGCGGCCACGAAGGTGAAAATGAAAGAAATGTAGATAAAACGTGTGCTGCACGTGCAAAGTCGTTTTTTTGCTAATTAGACCACTGATTAATTTTGGCTGTTTTCGTTGCCGTCGCCGCTTTATAGCATTACACGATTTTATATTTTGTTTGATTAAATTATAGATATTAATCGGAGCTTCGTTTTTAGTCCTGCCTAAATCTATATATTAAATTATGTAGATCCCCTGGGTTTTCTTGGAGGTAAAGAACGAATTCGAATACCTACAGTAAGCATTCATTCCTTGAAGCTCTTAAGCGGCTCATCATTGAGTACACTGGTTTGAAAGCTGAGTCCAGGGAGGATAAAGGTTGGGCGGAGAAACGAGCGCTCCGCTCTTCATTAAATGTTTGATGCGGAGTAGGACTGGCACGAGCGCTCTTTCCGCGCTTCCGGTTTAAGCTTCCGGTGCGCTTGAAGGCCGGCGAAATTTTCCTTTTTGCAAACCGGAAATCCTATTATCTTTCAGTAATTTCAGGCTACAATGTTAAATAGACAAATTCGTTTCATAACAATATTAATAAACAGTTTCATATGTTTTTGCCTGTACGTCTATAAGTCAAACTTGTTGGTCGTATAATGCCAAAATTTGAGTTTAATTTGAAAGTGTTGAATACCTCCTCCTTCTACTAAAAATCACCCAATCGTCTTTCGCCGTTTCGTTTGTAAAGCTTAACACTTCCTAACCTCAGTTATTACATATGTTAAAGGGGGATAAATTTTATATAACATAACAAAAAATTAGATTGATATATATTGATATAGTGGCGTTGTACTTCTTCAAACCATAGTTAATTGAGTGGAATGGTTATGAAACCCGTCAGACTCCTTTGTTATATGTTTTTGTGGACCTGACAGTGCACAACGTTCAAAAGAATTCCTATCATTTTTATTGTATTGACCAATAAAAACGTTGCATTAATTTATTCCGTAACAATTTGCCAACAGAAAACAAAGGATTGTGCACTTTCACGGTACTTCCAACATAAACTGCAGCACTATTGTTCTTATCACTGATGTTTGCCGCTTTTCATAACCAGTCTCCTCTAATAACTATGTTCAAACTTTGCTTCTCGGGTGCAACGCGCCATGGCGATTCGCGCAATGCGTTGCAAATCTGGCAACCGCATGTAAACAAAATTTATTGAGGTTAGTTGTAAGGTTTTTTCTCCGTTTTTCTCTCTAAAACAAAACAAGGTAAACAGTAAAAACTGAGAGGAAACTAATTTTGAAGTTTCGAAGAAACAGAAAGACGTATGAGATATTTTTTTCAAAATTAAAAAGAAGGATGATGGTGATTGAAATTAGCATAATTTCACCTTGCACGAGCTGTACGCATTTATAAAATACACGTCATCTACATGTAGTTATGAAACACGATCTGCTGTCTTTTAGGGCGCGATCCATTCAACCAAAATTCAGACCTGTCCGACCGGGAAAAGAGGACCACCTCAAAAGGTGGACCCGTTTTTTCGAAACTTTTCCGGTTGGACCGAACCGATCCATTGAGTTTTGGACCGAAATTTCCGGAAATTTTGGTTGAATGGATCGCGCCCTTAGTTTCGCCATGGATGACATGGATGAGATTTTCCTTCGTGTTTTAGACAATAATTAGTTGTTTTTGTTTTGGAATAACATCGACATTGGCGAGTAGCAGAACGAAAATATAATTCAGTGGTAGAGTCACGGAAGTATAATAAAAGAAATCCTTTCAAAGAGATGTTTGTCTACTCCAACTAAACCTCCCGCAAAAAATAGCAACATTTGCCTCTCGGAGACAGCGTACCAGCACAAAGGAACGAGGAAGAAGTGCAAGAAAACAAATCAAGCTGTCATAATTCAGTGACAGCGGCAGTGTCTAATGCACAAACCACATCGCAAGCCCTGACCGAAGGACTGACCGAAGTCGAAAACAAGCGACATTTCTGGGCAGAGTCGCAGTCCACTGCATCACACCTTTTTGCTCGGACGCGCTCGTTTCACCGCCCAACCTTTCTCCGCCCTGCTGAGTCCGAGTGTTTGCGCTTTCTCAATTCAGCGGACCCGACTATCTCGGCGCCTGGAACAGGCTAGTTCTAAAATGGTCTAGGATCCCCGGCTGAAATAAAACTCTGGTAGAAAAGTCCGCAGCAACAACAACAATGCAACAACAGCAATGATCAATATGAAATGAATTTTCGACGAGCAGTTACACTTCCTAGTAGCCTCTCACGCAGGCGTTTTTAAGGGAGCTCGCTTTTCATCCCTAGGGATGAAAAACGAACTCCCCTAAAAACGCCTGCGTGGGAGGCTAACTTCGTAGCGGAAGAATGGTCAAAGCCAAGTCAAAGTTCTTCTAAGTTTCCCTTTAATATTTAGACCTATTTCGTGGATAGCAAATAAATAAGGCAATGGAATTGAGGTTAAATGGCATTGCTTTTTTAAAAGTACTATCCGGTACCCTCATCTACATTGTATGTTCACCTGACTTCTGTTACTTCTCTTTCTCTGCAATGGCTGTGCAGCGGGAGGCTGAAAATTATAAGAAAAACATCAACGCTACTATTAACTCTGGGGTAGCGGCAGTCTGAACAGGTCTAGCCATCCGCTGTCCTGTTACTTCGGAAACTTCCGTGAAACGTGAACACGGAATTTTTATCTCAGTGATGCGTTATTTTCACTTTTTAAAGTCCGTGATACGTGCGTAGGACCCTCCCCTTTTTCCCCCTCTTCTCCGTTTCACGCAGTTTGCTCTCCGTACATTACAACCGGTCGACGATGATCATAAAATCAGTTCTAATGTTTTCTTTTAAGCTTATGTTATTTAACAATGATCAATACAAACCTCGATTGAGAATGTTTCAGCAATGTACCAAAGTGGTATCTTTTCATTTTAGTTTTACTCAAATACCGGGAGCTGAGGGACGCGTCTTTGAGTGGAACCCCTGCACACCTCTCAGTACTGGTGTATCTGGTTGTAACAATGTGACGGTAAGTTAGTGACATGCCGTCTTAACTCTAGGAGTGTATGGCGTACATTTGCGGACAAAAATAATTGAAAATAAAATATAATTTGAAGTTCAAAAATTAGACTATCCATTTCGAAATCTCGTCATATGAATTTGAAATCGCAATGAACGCAGTCGAAATAGCATCATTCGAACTTGAAGTTACTTTGAACAAGTTGAAACTATAAAGGGAAAACTCGACATCGCGGATGTTGAAGTTCAAATCACCATTCCAACTAAAATGCAAATTACATGATTTGAACTTCAATTCACCTTCTCCACTCTAATAAGCTTCTTAATTATCTTCCACAAAATTCCAAATGAAATCTTTAATTTGAAATTAACGTCACGTCACATATTCGAATTCGAAAAACCAAAATTTCAATTCGAAAGGAAGCGGAAGTAAAAATACACAGGAACCGGAAATAATAAGAGTTTCGCTACACTGTACGTATGGGATGTTTGCATAACTGCATTTTGGCGCGAAAAGATTTCCCTTCACTCAAACTCTCTGGCGGACAATGTGAATGATAAGAGTGACTCTAGGACAATCCAAGAGATTGTGAGGGCTGTCGTGGCAAACTTAAGAGTGGTTTTCTGTAAAATTCGAACTTCGGCCTGACACGTTACCTGGTCGATTTGGCTGATCTTTGGCATGTAGTTTTAGAATGGTTTCCTAAATACTTAATGCATATTCTAAGGTTTGAATTCTCTTTGGTCTCAAAGATACAGAAATGACAGTTTTGACGAGGCCTCGAGGGGCCGCCATGTTGGTGAACTGAAGGAGGTTTACTATGGTTAATTCTAGCTTTATCTGTTCAAATCATGCAACTGTAGTTCTGCTCCGTTACATTTACCCAATTATTTTATTCAACAATCTAACTTATCTACAAACACACTATGTTTAGTGAAAACGGCTTACTCTAAATCGATGTGGCATGGGTGATATTGGCCTCCCAATTTCTACAAAATTTGTGTACCTTTTAACTTGTTTTAAGTACCGAAAAAGTGCTGTGCGAAGTTATAGCCGTTCTTAGCTCAGGCTAAACTATTTTCGGATAGAAAAAAGGTAAATGAAAGGAGGAAGGATAATTCTTTGCAACTGTATGAGTCACGTTATTTTAATGATGAAGCTAGAATTAATTATAGTAAACCTCCTTCAGTTCACCAACATGGCGGCCCCTCGAGGCCTCGTTAAAACTGTCATTCCTGTATCTTTGAAACGAAAGAGAATTCAAACCTTAGAATATGCATTCAGTATTTAGGAAACCATTCTAAGACTACATGCCAAAAATTAGCCAAATCGACCAGGTAACGTGTCAGGCCGAAGTTCGAATTTTACAGAAAACCACTCTTAAGTTTGCCACGACAGCCCTCTCAATCTCTTGGATTGTCCTAGAGTCACCCTTATCATTCACATTGTCCGCCATATTGACCAGAGAGTTTGAGTGAAGGGAAATCTTTTCGCGCCAAAATGCAGTTATGCAAACATCCCATACGTATTAGCCTGCGAAAACATCCGTTTCTCCTCGCTAAACGTCCCCAGCGGCGAAGAGCGAGGAGAAACGGATGTTTTCGCAGGCTACATACGTATACGTACAGTGTAGCGAAACTCTTATCATTTCCGGTTCCTGTGTATTTTTACTTCCGCTTCCCTTCGAATTGAAATTTTGGTTTTTCGAATTCGAATATGTGACGTGACGTTAAGTTCAAATTAAAGATTTCATTTGGAATTTTGTAGAAGGTAATGGTTGCATTGTTGACGATTAATTAGCTTATTAGAGTGGAGAAGGTGAATTGAAGTTCAAATCATGTAATTTGCATTTTAGTTGGAATGGTGATTTGAACTTCAACATCCGCGATGTCGAGTTTTCCCTTTATAGTTTCAACTTGTTCAAAGTAACTTCAAGTTCGAATGATGCTATTTCGACTGCGTTCATTGTGATTTCAAATTCATATGACGAGATTTCGAAATGGATAGTCTAATTTTTGAACTTCAAATTGTACTTTATTTTCAATTATTTTTGTCCGCAAATGTACGCCATAGGAGTGTGGCAGATACAAAACATACATGAAGGACCTGTTGGTCAACAACACAGTGAATTTAAGAAAGATATTTCCACATTTCCATCTATCTCTCGTATTAAAACATAAATTTGAACAGAACTTTGAACCATTTCACTGAATCTGGTATAATATAAAATTCATGTCATAAAAGTATCATTTTCTATCTCTTGTATTAATATATAACTTTCAGCTACTTTCAACATATCTGAGATCTATTACTGCGAAACTCACAAAACCGTGAACATCAGAAATATTTATGGAATGTTATTGTGTTGCGAGAAATAAGCCAATAAGGCGCGAGATAACTAAGACCGTGTTTACTTGGAGCGGGGGACCCCGGTTTAGTGGGGTAGGTTTCTTTTGTTTTGTGTCCCTCAGAGTGTGAAAACAAAAGAAACCAACCCCACTAGACCGGGGTCCCCCACTCCATGTAAACAGGCCCTAAACCGCAAACAGCAACGGTAATTAATTTTTGGTTTTGAGGTTTGCTTGCGTATCCTGAACTTTATTGTGATTGACCTGTACACAATCAACATTCCTGAAATTTTCAGGTGTTCACGGTTTTCTGAGTTTGAATGTAATTAAAAAAACAAAAACTATTAATAGTGGTCACAGCCTTGAATGTATACAATTATAAAGGACAAATGGTAACCCATTAAACACTTTCTAACAGTTTGTGTGTAATAGACCGGTCAAAATTGAAACAAACAAAAACAACCAAAAAGTGTCTGATAGTGCCCACTGTAAGCTATTTCAAGGATTTATAAGTAAAACCATTCTACCAAAGGGATGTTTTATGGTAGGGTGATCAAGACATTTCCTTTTAACAAGTCACTTTAAATATATAGTTGTGTATTTTTATTTTTTTATTATTTTGTTTATTTAATATCAATGTAATTCTACTTATTTTTTTTCATGTTCTAGTTGTAAAAGCACTTTTTTGATCTATTTTAAATTATTATACAGTGAAACCTCTATTAGGCAGACCCTCGGTTCAGCTGACACATGACACCCTCTACTCTATACTAAGCAGACATTCAGTCCGGTCTTGAAATAAGCGCCTTGTATCTTCTAAAACCAACCTCTACGTATACCAGACGGACACCTCTTTTAAGCGGACGCGGACACCAAAATAGTTGTTATTTTGGCAGTTTTTTATTGTTTCAAACCTCTGTTTAGCGGACATCTGAACTGTCAAGTAAACATAAGAATCTGGGGGAACAGCTACACCACATGGCTTTACAATTATCCTGTCAAGCTGTATTTATGTCAACGCTTTGTTACTGTAAGAGGGTGGGAAGTAAATGGCTGGGTGTTTTCTTTAGAACACATTTGCGTTTTAAATAAGAAATTCAATACTGATTTCCTGGCATTGGAAAAAAGATCCAAGCATTTTTAAAAGGTTTTAAATTCAGCTGAATAGAATTTCTCATTTATTTTTGTAACCCGTTGTAACCAGTTAGTGGTCTATTATCAATGCTGCGTTCTGATTGGTTGAGCTACTACTAGGCTATATGTTATAGCCCACTAGTACCGAAAGCGCAAGCTTTTTGGCGGCAAAAATAGGATTAAAGTCTAGCTTTAACCAGCTAACGTTGTTTTGTCTCGATATTTTTGACCAGCTAGTTGGATTTTACTAAAACAGTTATTGCTCTCGCCCTCATGGTCTCTGAGTCAATAGCCCATTCGGCCCTCGGCCTCATGGGCTATTGACTCAGAGCCCATTTGGGCTCGAGGAATAATTGTTAAATAGACTCTAAATGCAGCTTGTACCAGCCTGGAGAGAAAGCAGTTCTTGAGCATGTATCATCTTCTGTTCCATACTTGTATAGGCATACCTCATGAAATGCTCATTTTTGGTGATACTTAATTAGTAAATATGAAGACTGAAAACCGATAAAGAAAAAATTCGGGGACAATTTAAAGTTGCAACAAAAAATTCTTGCACAGCCCAATGGCAAAAAAACAATGCTTAACAAAACAAAATTGGCCACCACCCCCCTTCCCCACACACCTCAAAAATAAAATGGTCCCTCCCTTAAGGGATCAGGTAATCTCGTACCCAGATCTCACTCTGTTTTACACTGGCCGTGAGAGATCTGGGTACGAGATTTAGGATCAGGGTGGCTTACAGGTTGCTTACAGTGGCCCGGCCTAATTGTTTGTTGGGTTTCACTTTTTGTCTAGTTCAGACCAAGACATGCCATTTTCCCCATGTAATCATTTTCAGACCTGGCATCCAGAAGTTGTAAAATTCGGTTGGCTAGCATATACAAACAGTAAATTTATGAGGAAGAGTAACTGTATAAAATTTTGATAATTTTGATTCTCCCACAGTCTTGCCAAAGGACTAACACTGAAAATTTTCCAGCTGGGACAGCAAACACCACTTTTTCTGTGGACAGTGAAGGCAATGCTGTTATCACATATGGAGCATCGAAAAGTCATTTTGATAATACATGGAGGTATTTTGCAACGTTATTTTCAAACCAGAGTCTACGATTGGGAGAAAGGGTCAAAGAATAGCTGGTATAAACAGTCAATAGATTTTTTTTGTCCCCTTTTTTCCCATGAACTCCTAAAATGTGACAACAGAAATAACTTATTTTGAAGCCAGCACCCAAGCCTTTTCCCTACCTGACCAGTTTTTGGCCTTTGGAGGCCTGGGTAGCAAAGCCCACTTAGCCTTCTTTATGTTAGAGCAACCTCGTCCTCAGGGCTAAAGCCACGGAAAACCGCCCTGGGGACGAGGTTGATGTTAGAGGGTTCTTTGAAGGGGACAGCTCTTCTAGCGAGAGGACTCCAGGACTTGATACTTTTCTTCTTTTTAATGACTGACAGCAACACAAACTTCTTCAGCTCAGCTTCTTAAAACAGCTAATCACAAACTGCTAACCATCCAACTATACAACTTATATAAGCAAAACGTGGATACGTTCAGGCTTGCTGACGATGAACGACGACGACGAACGACGAACGCTATTCCGAACTGCTTACTCTACATGTAAAGAATTTCCTGTTGTTAACCAAAGTGGAAAAATTCAAACCTGTAAGAAACCCAATGAAAGCATGATAGCTAAATCCACGAGGCTCTACTTTAAACCAAAACAGAAACTCTGATGTAGGTAACAATCAAGGTCAGCGATGGTCCTAAAACCTAAAAGACTGACAATCAAACTTAATTAAACCCCAAGCTTAATGACACTTATGTCGACTAACCTATTAAAAAGGTAACAACACTCAAAAACCTGTTAACACTTATAATAGTTAACCTTGATCTTTAAACCCAAACATAACGAAACCCTGAGCACGAGCGAACGCTCAGGAACAAACAAACTTGTCATCAAAAATCCTTATGATGATGATTTCAAAAACAACCACAAAACCGCTTCATAACATACCTCCCTTCTCAGAAAAAGCATCGTCCTCGATGCTTAAGGGAACGACAAATTCAAATAGTAAGTACTAAAAGAAAGATGAAAAGTTAAGCTCGAAATTTAAAGTATTCTCTCAAAAATCATCAAACACCTATAAACTAAAAAAAAAAAAACCAAAAATGGAAGAGAGACATGTTCGAAAAATAAAGTTGACCCTTAACAGACATTGTAACGGTTTTCGACGCCATCTTGACGAGTAGGCAAACGCAGAACGGCTGTGCTGAAAAAAATATGATTTGTAAACTAAAGCTTAACTCCTATGGATTCTACTGAAAAAATTTGAGTGCGTTACATGCACTAGAAGACCTAGAACCATTTTTAAATTTCCTATACTTTTGTCTGTAAGAAAGTCCGGGGAAAATTACAGACAAATATATGGAAAATCTGAAGCAATCCTCTGGAGAAATTGTAAGCACAGGTAGGCCTCCAAAATTTTTTAGGACAATCCTTTGCTTTGTAGCTTTAGTTTACAATTGATATTTTTTTTTCAGAACAGCCGTTTTGCGGAAATTATTCGACGTTAGATTCTCATATAAACACTGTAATTTCTCACACGTTCGCTTACTCGTCAAGATGGCGTCGAAAACTGGGACAAGGTCTATGGGGAAGGAAATCGCCATGGTGAGTGGATTTTTTTGTCGAAGGAAGGAGGCAGACGTTGCTTTATTCTTTCAAGTGACAAGAATGAGAAAGATCATAACAATCTAAGCAAACTTAACTAGTCGATTATTGCCCGAAACAGGAAGATCACAAAGCAACGAACCTTGAAACACGAAACAAACAAAACGGATCGAAAATCACAAACCAATACCTTTTGAACTCGTGCAAGTAAATATCTGTTTCCTAAAAGGTCCGCTAAGATGATTGACGGAACAGAAAAACCCAAAATATGCAAAACGCACAGCGCAATACAACAAATTTCGCTATAAAGCAATCAATTAACAATTATTCCACGAGTGCGCGGAGATGGTAGCTAACCAACGAGGTGCGTAGCGCCAAGTTGGCTATCATCTCATATCTAACAAGCGCGAGTGGAATAATTGTTTTATTAAAAACACCCACAAAATATCAAGAAATACTTCCCGACTTTATTTGTCAAAACAACCGATGTTCAGCTTGTTTTTAACAGACGCGTACAGTTACCATATTTGGGGAGCATGTTATAATGGCTCATATAACATGATGGCTACAAAGCCAATCAGAGCTCTAGTATTGTATCATCCAATGATTCAGTTTTTAATAATAGCTGTTATAGAATTAACTGATATATGGTTTATGTAGGCAAACAGAAATTACACTGAAGTGCGATCCAGGCAAACCAGGCAAAGGAACCATACCAAACCTTACAGGGACATTTCTTCCCTCAGGACATGTCTTATATGTAAATATATTAGAGTATTTTGATTTTTAACCTTTTTATAATCATAGAGCAGACGCAGTGAGTGATCACTGATCAACATGAAAAATAGGTTATTTATTCATTGTGACCAAATATTAGAAAATCAAATAAAAAAAAGATGAACAAGTAAAACAAACCAAAAACATGTACATAGATTATGAGTCATACCTTGTTATTACATTGGTACCACTGCAGTTTTATGTTGCATACAACATAATAAGATCATCGCCAACCTTTACGACTTTTTCAAGCAATAATTTAAGACTGGCTTTTGGTCCAAAAGATACCCTTTTCAAGACGCTAAATGGTAACATCATACCCTGTACAATGCTCGACCCTGAAAACCACACCCTGTTTAGTGCCACATACCCGTATAGGCAAATAAGGGAGGGGCCCCAGTATGTCACTCGTACCTACTTATTCAGCTGGGTAATTGAAGAGAATGAGACCAACAGGGAAGGGAGGTTTACTAAACAAGCGAGACTGTAAAGCTTGAACCCAGACCAATAGCAACAAAAGAATGAGGTGTTAATCATTAAGCCACCACACTAACACTGAGTCCATGGGGTTGGATATTGGTAGTTTTAGTGTGGCTTGGGAATCACGTATTTACCTACCCCGGGGGTACCCCCTAGGTTTTGACGTGCAGTTGGTTACCGCCTCGAAACCCAGACATGGAGGATTTCTGTGTAAAGGTGCAGCCATTTGCCGCTGATTGGCTTGTCATTCAAGGTCTCGGTAAATTTTTAAGTGTTTGTAAAAAGCATGTTTTCTCAACTAATCAAGCGACAACTTGAGCTATCAATAGCAAGAAAATTAAGTCAGCGGTGTTAAATTGATTGTGAATGATCCCACGGGTGGGGAATTTGCCACCTTCCTACATCCTTCATCAGTTTGGCAGTTTTAGTGTCCCTACCCCAAGGAATTTGGCATCCAAGAGAAATGTGCTAATGCCAAAGCATTTTTCCAGGGGGTGGGGGATGGGCACAACGTGAACTGACCGATGCAATCTTAGAGCTGCTTTTACAAATTTTGAAGACATTTCATTCATCACCACCCCTCGGTTATGGAATGAAATTGTAGATTAAGCATATTATTATTTCTCTAAATATATTTTTTTGCTTAAGTAACATTTCTATAAAATATTTACTTTTCAGACTGGAACATTTACTTCCAAATTCGCCTGTGCCTATCCAACTCAACACACTCTGCCTGGTAACCCTCTGCTACAGAACGATAAAGTGATCAACTGAGTTACAGTGACAGTAACGTAACTCTCACTTCAACAGTGAATCAAGCTTTAATGGAACCCGTTGATACACCATGGTCGGGCCATGAAATTGTGGTCGCACAGGCAACTGGTGGCGTCGCATTATTCTAAGCCTTGCTGAACTGTAATGACAAAATAAAGCTCAATCCTCAGTGACAACCCTTATTAATAAATCACACAAGTAACTAGTCTGAAATGTCATCTGTCTCTTAGCTCCACCCCCCAACGAGCGGCAAGGTGAGAGAGACTTGAACCCTCATAATTCATGTGCTTTGAGCACTGCTTGACAGATTGATTATTGCTTTATTCATTCTCGTCAAAAAATTCAGTCTATGATTGTACGTGTAAAGTTATATAAGGGATTACCCCAGCTCCAGAAAGAAAGGGCGCAACAACAGAGTCGAGAAGCTTTGCCAATAAATTTACCCATGCACTCTGTTTAAGAGCCCTAGCATTGAATCCTCACGTGTCCCCACGAAACAGAGCTTGTCGACATCTTTTTAATACACTGGCTTCTCATCTACCCGTGGACGGACGAAAACGGACGATGATCATACATCATATGCTACTAGCATTACGCACATTCTTTTAGCGTTTTCATGTGCACGGGTGAAAACGATTTGAATACGCTAAGCATTTCTTTTTTTAAACGGAGAAAGAAAATTCCTGGGCTCGATTACCAGACGCTGCTCAGGAAAACAAAGACCGGACCCAGGAGACGGTGGAAATCGAGCGTAGACATCCAATTCCATGTCAAAAATACCCGGATACGAGTGGACGGGGCCTAAATTCCTATGGCATGATCAGGACATCGTTGAGGACATAATAGGACGGCAACGGCAAAGGCAACGAGAACGCCAAAAAAGCAATAGGTTTATATTAGCAAAACAACAACATCACGCCTTTTTGTTCATTTCTTTATTTTGCCGTAGTTGCACGACTACAACGTGAAAGTGCCTAATTTCCCGTTTTGTCGAGGACGGGTACACACGACAACAACTTTGTTTTTTCTTTTCCTGAACTTTGATACCGTCCTTTAGAATTCAACTCCAAAAAAATTTGCTAACTTTTGACGAATTAAACGAGATGCATGTGATATGGAATAAGCGTGATAAAGTTTGAGGCAACGCGAATTCGCTTTTAAAGTGACGTTTTCGTAGTCGTCGCCGTCCTTGTTGCTTAAACAAGGTTGGCACAGAGTCTTGAATTCTTGAAAAAGCCTAGAAATATGCCCAGCAATTTTCCAGACCTGGAAAAAGGCTGGAAAATAGGGATAAAGTCTTGAAAAATGGTAAAAAGTCTTGAGCTTTTTTTCAAAGCTACAAATTGCTGTAAAAGTGAGTTGTTTTTCGTTTTGATCAGATCTTATTCAATCTCAGCCGTATATGCATGTTTGCAGTGCATCATGAAAAAGCTTTGTTCCTGCTTTTCTATTGATCACCTGTTTGATAACCTGGGCCCAGTTGTTCGAAGGTCGATTAGCGCTAACTTGAGGTTGAATTTTAATCCTGGTTTCTTAACTTCTTCTTTTATTGAAAGCATTTTCACGGATAATTTTCTCTGTTCTTCTAAGATCATCCAGTCATCATATTGTTGACTGAATATGCTATTTAAGCTTTCCGGATCTGAAATTCAAATTTCGCACGAACCCTGGGTTATCTTAACCCATTCGCCCCTGAACCGCCCGTAACCGCCCGTGCGGATCCAGGTCCTTTCTACCCTTTGTGACGTCATCAGTTTTAACGGTCAAGGACAACTTTCTTCGCTAACTTGTGCAGAGTGAAGAGATCTTTCAAAGCATACCAGAATGAGCACAATTCAGTCAAGGACACCGGAGAAAGAAGCAAAAAACCACGTGACAAGGACCTGAAAATCTCCATGAAAATCATGTTCCATTACCCACCTACCTTTCCTTTCACCTAATCCTAAGATCCTAAAAGCTTTCCTAAAAACTCTTCCCACCAAAATGAAGCCTACTAAATGCCCAGCAAGAGAAAAAAAAATGAGGCAAGAAAAGCGAAAAAAGAAGGGAGGAGAGAAAGCGAAAATGTCGAAATTTTGCTTTCTGCGCATGCCCGAACTTCGCAAGCTGATATTTTGCATCTGGATCAGAAGGCCGCCAAGTGTACGACCTGTAAACCGGTTTGTGGTAAGTTTTAGCTCTTTATAGCACGACAGTGACCAGAAAACCACTCGACTAGCTTCAGAACGCGTTTTTCGGCAAAATCTCCAGGAGCGAATGGGTTAACCCAGCTTCGAACAACTCGGCCCTTGAGTCTGGAAAAAGAAATGATTGTTTTGAAAAAAATCTGGAAACAATCTTGAACTGATTTTAGAGCCAAGAATCTGTACGAACCCTGTGTAAACAATCACAGCACAGCCGTTCCGGTTTATTTTAAAATGTTATCTTTCAGGAGTAATAAGCAGTGAATTATCAGCAAAAGCCTTTTTGAATTCTTTAAAGATCTCTATTTACACTCATGTATATCTCTTAAGTTCAATAGAGACATGAGTATCTTTTTATGGTATGACTGGCTTGTGTGCAATAGAGCCGGGAATCAGCTGTTTTCTCAGTATCGTAGATTGCACGTATGGCTTTTTGCCTTTCTCATAGCTCAATAATTTATGAGGAAAATAATCCTATGGTATGGCTAAGAACCCCACTATATGACCATTCTATCAGTTATGATCACTTTTTCCTGGAACGAAAAAAAACGCTAGCTGCCTAGCAGCAACAAAAAAGGGGAGGAAGACGTGGAGAGGCGAACGAAACTGAAGAAGAGAAGAAAAACGAGTGCGAACGCGCTTCGTATTCGTTTCGCGCTTCGCGCAAAATGCCGCGTTCCTCTCGCTTGGCTCATAAAGCGCCTGTTATCATGGATAATAGAAAGACTTTCTATTATCCATGCTGTTATGCAGGCTAGTCCCCAGACGTCCCTAGCGGTCCCCCAGCGTCTCGTTTTCTCATAGGCCATTTGCACGATGGCGTCATTTTACTACTGCTACCAGAATCCTTCAGGGTTTTGCGTTCGTGTGCAAATTAGGACTTTTGTTATTTAAACTTCATTGGGATTACCAAATTTACATATGAAAGAAAAAACGAAAATGGTTCTGGTCTCCGAGTAGTAAAAAGACGTCATCGGCAGCGGAAAAGGGAGATGACCCTGGGGACTTCGGTACTTGTTTGCGCGATGATTGATGGGAAGGTTTAAGCGAGTTCGCGTTGCATTATCGACGTCACCGTTTCTCCTTCCTTCCCAAGCGCCTTTGCGCGCATTATTTCAGCAGTGACGGCTGGGTACGAGTCTGCCCTGAAGTCACGAGTAGAGTTCCGGGAGAAATGGCAAGTGCAAGGACTTCTCTTGCAGTGAGCATCTTTATGATGGTCATAGCAGGTTGCATATCAGAGGAAACCTGTGAAAGAGTCGACACGTGTTCTTGCAAGTTTAAGAACGGATCGATCGTCAATTTGAAGCCGGCAGATGGAGGAGATTCGCCAAAGTTAGTGAAAATGAAAGTTATATGATTTTGCCTTCAAAAAACGATTAGTGGGTCACATCTTATACAAAATAACAGTGATTTAGTTTTTCAAACCCGCACCATTTTCTTAAAATGAGTAAGTTCGTGGCTGGTCACGTGACCAAAATGTGATTTTTAAAACAATGAATGACCTCTTTCCGAACATAAATTTTGCACTTAAACTTCAAGGAAATTGTTGAAAAGATGATGTGGTAACATATACAGCACATCTGAGTGTAACTATCAAACGTTTAACAAGATACAAGCAAAAAGTAGGTTGGCGACCATGTTGGAGGGCAAGTCAGTATTCCCTCCAACATGGCGGCCAATACAAATCATACTACTTTGTTGAAATATCAAAGTGCCATAAAATATCTCCCTTAAATGCGTTTCCTCTCAAATTTCCAGTGTAAGATGATTTTTATGCGCTCTGTCAATTTTTGTCATCAACAGGATTCCAAGTCATTGTTTAAAGGAAGCATTGGTCATGTGACCTCTTAGTGCAAATGGCCTATTAATTAGCACTAGCTGTAGCTGTCATTTGTTATTTTAATGTAGTTGTTTCCTACAATAGCCTGCACTTAGGCATTAACTGTTTATTTTGGTTGGGATACTATCTCAATTATTTTAAAGAATGAAATATACAACTGAAATCAAATCGTAAACGCTATGTTTCAATGAGCTCATGCTAAAACTGAGTGAATTAAAGTGGCAGAAATTCCCCCAGGTGGGGGGGGGGAGGGGGGAGGGTACTCCCTTCTTTTGCCTTTACGATTATGTGCTGCTGGACAGGGTATGGTTTTTGAGACCTCTCTGTCCTAAACAGGGTATTAATTAGTCTTGCTTGCGTAAGCAGCGAGAATCATAATCTGCAATGCATTTTTCACCTTATTTAGGACACAAAAGGGGGTCATTGTGCCAGGTGTTCCTTGCGGAGACTGTGGAAACTGGGACTAAG